GGTGTCCCTGGTCTCCACACTCTCCTAAGCATTACCTACCCATAGCCGTGGATAATCCCCAAGATGATCCCCCCCCACCTCACCACTAGACTCAGCTCCACTCCTCTGGCTCCTGAATGGATATTTTATCTGGATGTTACTCTAGCAACCCAAGTCAGTCTCATCACTGCCTTGCATCATCTGGGTACCTGCTTTCTATCAGTACTCCTAGGAATGGGGTCTACAGCCTCCTGCCGTTCTCCAGGGCTCTCTTCACGTCCCATGTAAGTCTCTAGCCCTGGTTTTTAAGACGTCTTATATTGATGAATCCAGAGACCCTGTATTTCCTATGGAGCCTCCTTGGTCTCTTTCCCGCCTTCAGCCCCATTCCGCTCTAGCAGACGGATCAGGGTTTGAAAGCCAATTCCACGTGCTCTCCCTCAAAGTTCTCACGAGTCTGCCTGCTTCCCTGACCTCAGATCTCTACCCCGAAGAACTGTTAACACTAGGGAGCAGTTAAAAGCTGCCAGCGCTCCAGATGTTTGCCTACGGGCAAATGTTGGAGATGACACATCTGCCTATGGCTGACTACTCATCAGCAGAAAAAGGTGAGTTAGTGACATACCTCAGTCCAGGGAACACCCAGGGAATTCGGCAGCCAGGAAAAAGCCAATCTTACAAACTTGCTTACTGCCCAACTCCAGAGACCTCGCCAGCAGCACTAAAATGACAAACTTCAGGAAGTGTGGAACAGATTGGCAGCTGTCCAGATCAAGAGGGACAGGAGGGGGCTCTAAGGGGCAGCCTTAGCGACAGAGATGTTTGTTTCAGCATCATGGTCTTGGCACAGATAGCTGTTAGATGCTCTGAGACGTCATCACTGTGTTGAATCTGGCTGGGATGTCATCTCTTGCAGTGGAGAGTTGGGGCCAGCATAGAACTCTCCCTGTAAGGTGGGCAGAACAGTGACCGTTTGGGGCAGATGGGGAGCCAGCATCCATAATGATCCAAGATGGCCGTCTGGATGATGGGACTTGAGCATAATTGGAATGGTGAGTCCCTGTGGCGGGGTGGGGCTGACATCACTGAGCATGGAGGCTGGTGAACACAGTCTGTAGGCCAGGGAGTGGGAAGGCATGGGCTACTGGAGGAGATGAAGAAGACAGACACAGAGTTGATAGGGTGGGTAGGCTGGGGCAGCCCTACAATTGTGTCCCCTCTCCCAGTCAGCAGATGAAGACTGAGTTTTCAGTTACAGTCCCTGTGTAGAGAATGTCAGGGGATCATGTTGCCAGTGAGAGGGTCCAAAAAGCCCCCATGATGATCTCTTTGACTATCTAAAACAAACAAACAAACAAACAGACAAGCAAACAGGGATTCATATAGCTCAGGCTGGTCTCAAACTTCTGATGACTGAATTTATCACCCTCCTGCTTCCTCCTCTGCTAGAGTTAGAGGTGTGTGCTACCACCCCCGTTTCTGTGGCGCTGGGAATGGAAGTCACTCTACTGACCGAGTTATGTCCTCAGCCTAACGTGTCTGGTCTCTGAGGCCCTCTGTAGCTTTTGATGCCCAGATCTCTAGATGAAGGGAACTGTATGTCTGGTTTTACCCATCAAATGACATGCCCTTTGAGAGGGTGACATCCCCTGGGTGCTTCCCCTTAGACAGTGGCTCTGTCGGTCAGAGCCCCTGGATATTCCATAGGCACCGCCCCCAACCTACCCACTAATGACACATGACACTTGCAATGACTTTACACTGGTTTTATTGCAGTCGAATACACATAACATAAACGCCACCATTTTTTTTGGTGTATTAGCGCATCCCACACAGCCGATCTCTGGAAGGCTTTCATATTTAAGATTGAGGCTCTAGCAGTTGAACACTTGTTTGCCGTTCTCCACATCCAGGCCCAGGTAGCCAGGATTCTATTTTGCCTGCACAGATTTAACTATTCTAAGTACCTCGTATAAATAGAACCATGCGACATTTGTGTCTATGACTGGCTTATCTCACTCAGTGTGATGTCTTCAAGGGTCATCCATGTGGCAGCACAGACCAGAACTTCCTCTTCAAGCCTCAGAACTATCCCATTGTCTATACATTATGATTATCCATTCATTTATCTGTGCGTGGACATTCAGGTTGCTCCCATTTTGTGGCTACTGCAAATAGTTATGAATACTGGTACACAAATACTACCAGCCTCTAGTTTCAATCCTGTTTGAGAAGAGTCTCCCTATATAGCTCTGGCTACCCTGGAATTCACTATGTAGATCGGGCTGACTTCTAACTGCCAGCCATTCTCCTGCCTCTGCCTCTAAAGTGTTGGGATTAAGGACACGCCCTAGCACACGTGGGTTGCTTTCAATTCCTTTGGCTATACACCTAATGGTGGGATTTCAGAGTCACATGGAAATGCTGCATTCAACTTTTTGAGAAGTCACCAAATTGTCACAAAACTTGTGGTTTTAAGCCACTGAAATTTGGGGGTTTGTGGTATTATAGGGATAGTCTTTGCTATTGGGATCAATGCTGCATCTCAGCCTAGAATGTCTATGACCAAAGCGAGGGGTGTAGAAGCCTGTATTCACTGCTGTTCTGTTGTGGCTAGTACCTGACAGACTCAGCCTAAGTGAGGAAACGCGTACCTTGGCTCACTGTTTCTGGGGGCTTAGCCCATGCACACGGACCAACTGTGAGGTTGAACACATGGTAGCAGGTGCAGGTGGTAGAGGAGGCTGCCGGCCTCATAGCAGTCCAGAAACAGGACAAGGACCAGATAGCAGCCAGGGCAAGATAGAGCTTCTCAGGAAATATCCTCAGTGGCATGCTTCCTTCAGCTAGGCCCTACCTCCTGCAGGTTACCTCCAAAAAGGCAGAGGCAGGTGGATCTCCTTGTGTTTGAAGTCAGCCTGGTCTACATAGGGAGTTCTAGGAAGTCAGAGCTACATGTTTCAAACATAACCAAAACAAAAAACAAAAACAAAAACCCAAACCACCTGAAGAGGACCAACTCTTTAATGTACAAGCCTTTATGAGGGACACTTCATATTCAAACTATAATAGAGCCTATTTGAGCTGAACCCCGAGGATCATCCAGCATTGATGTGCTACCTCTCTGTACTGAAGACATCCATGGGTGTCTAGAATCAACAGTGGAGCCCATGAATTCTCACTGGTCAGCAACGCCCTAACGGCATGTGGGCCTCGTGAAGCTAGCAACAAAGACATCCAAGGTCACGTGCTTTTATGGCTCCCAGTGACATCACCATCAGCACTGAATACAGACTTCCATTTGGCCCTCTTGGTCAGTTTTGGTGTCTTGGGGGCCACTGTGATGTGCCAACCTGAGTCAAATGAACCTTGCCTTAACTCTTGCTCTGCCATTTCCCCAATCTGACAGGCTTTTAAAAAAGATAATGTTCATGGATGTTTTCCCTGCATCTACGACTGCGCACCATGTGGCACTCAGTGCCATCAGAAGCAAGGCATTGGGTCCCCTGGAACTGGAACTGGGGTTACAGACAGTTGTGAGCTGCAGTCTGGGTGCTGAGAATTAAATCCAGGTCCTCTGGAAGAGCAACCAGCGCTCTTGACTGCTGAGCCATTTCTCCAGCCTCAGGATGGGCTTTTCATTTGTGGTACTGAAGACTGAACCTAGGACCTGGTGATTATCAGGCAAATTCTCTACCAGCAAGTTTCACCCTGAGTCTTCACTGGAAAATTGGGACAATACAGGTCACTTGACGAGGTGGCATGGACAAGGGAAACGTGTCATGTCTGGTGGCTGCTCCTTGGCGGTAGTGCCATAATACTCTTGATGAAGTCGAGGCCTTTCTCTTAAATAGCCTTGTTTTAGTCAAGCTGGGAGCACCGTTTGGAGGGGCTGTGGATTTGGATTTGGACGCAGGGTGTGTTGTTTGGGGACCTGCTTCAGCATTGAAATAAATGTGACAATGGGTGTGGGAGGCACAGCCCAGGACACTGGGGCACAGCAGAAGGTCCGGACCGATGAGGCTGTCCAGTGGCGGGAGGGAGGAGCTAGCCGAGGAGGCTGGGAGTCAGGAGATCCAGCGCCAAGCTCCAGTGATGGTTGCTGGAGATGTGAGCACTACAGAGCCGGAACCCTGAGAGCACCCCCTCCTTGAGGGATCCAGGTCTAGTGCAGATCTGCAGAGAATCTGGCAGCTGGAAGGGGCCTCCAATGTCATTTAGTTCAACCTCTCACCTCTTCAGATCTTTCCAGAGCCCACCTGAGGGCACCCAAGTCTTCTTGGACACATCAAGGTACGGGAAGCTCACTCCCTTCTAGGCAGCCCACCCCACGACGGTGCTCGAGCCCCTAAGGTGGCCTCGAGGCGCCAGGCTCTCCGACCTTGGCGGTGTGCAGCCGTCTGGCCACCGCGGCACCTGGCTGGGGGTGGCGACACGGCTGGGCAGGCGCTGCTGTCCCCAGCCCCAGTGCTGAGGCGCGCAGAGCGCAGTGGGCTCTGGTGGAGGTCGGGAGAACTGCAGGGCGAAGGCCGCCGGGGGCTCCGCGGGCGGCGGGGGGGAGGCACTTGACACCGGCCCGGGAGAGGAGGGGCCGCTGTCCCTGCGGCCAGTGCTGGATGCGGGGACCCAGCGCAGAAGCTGCGCCAGGTAGAGGGGCGCCGCGCGGTGGGGAGGCTGAGGCCAGGGGCGACCCGAGGGGCACCGGGCGGCCGGGAGCTCAGCCCCGGCGGGGTGCCCGACCCGGAGCGCTGCGGCCGGGGCGCGGCGGGGTCCCGAACCCGCTCCTCCCGCCGGGGGCGCTAGGACCGCCCGCCGCCCACGCCACTCCCGCCGCGGTGCCCCGGGGCCCCCGGTGAAGTCTCCCGGGCGGCTCCGCAGCGCCGGGGCCGGAGCCAGCGCGGCCACGGGGGGCGAGTGGCGGGCGGAGGCCTGGGCGGCAGGCGGCCGGAGGGAGGGAAGGAGGAAGGCGGAGAGAAGGGGCGGGCGGGGGGGACCCGGCGGAGGAGGCGGAGAGAGGGAGCGCGACAGCGACGGAGGGAGGGAGCGCGGCAGGCAGCGGGCGGGCCGGGAGGCGGCGCGGGCGGCGGCGCGAGCAGAGGACGAGCCGGGACGCGGCGCCGCGGCAGCAGGGCGAGCCGGGCCGCCCGACCCGCCGGGCCATACGGTAACCAGCACGGCCCGCGGCCCCCGAGTTGGGAGGGTGGGCGGGCGGGAGGGCGCAGCGGGGCGATGGGGAGCGCGGCTCGGACCCCGCAACTCGGCGCGCGGGGCGGACGCTGCGGGCGCGGACGGCCCGGGCCGAGGGTTTGTTTATGTCCCCGCGGCTCGCCCGCCGCCCCTCTCCTGCGCGTCGCCTCCCCCGCGGACGCCCCTCGGCGCCCCCGCCCGGCCCGGGCTCAAGTTCAAGTCCGTACAATGCCGCGGGGGGCCTCCGCCGGCCTGCGCGCTACCCGACGCGCGCTGCCGCAGGGCCCCGCCGCCTCCGCCTTCCGGGCTCTGCCCCCGCCCCGGGGCCCTGCCAGGGCCTGCAGCCGTGCGCTGCGGGGCGCGGACCCGACCCGGAATCGGGCGGCGGGAGGGGGGCCGAGGGGGCGCGGGCGGGCGGCCGGAGAGCGCCGTGGCCACGGCAGAAAATGGCAGCCTGGCACGACCCGGGCCCCGCGCCCCGCCCCGCCCCTCCCCCGGGCCTGGAGGCCCCGCGCGGCGGGGGGACCCTGGAGGCCCCCGGCAGGGCCGAGGGGCGGCCAGGGCCCGCGCCGGGGAGCGCGGCTTCGCGATCTTCCCGCGGCCACCTGTGGCTTGGGGGTGCGGGGCGCCGGCGGGCCTGGGAGGGGCGCGCGCTTGGGGAGCGTGCCCGTTCGGGGGGCGCACGCTCCCGCAGAGGCCAGGCGGAACGGCGTGGAGGGGGGACGTCGAGCCCGGCTCCTCCCTGCCCCCGCTGCGGGCCGTGGGAGCGGGGCGGCGGTGGTGGCGGCAGCGGCGGCGCCGCAGTGTGGGGGCGGGGCGGGAGTGGGCGAGGATCCCCGGGCCCGGCCGCGGAGGGCTGGAAGGTGCGGGGGCGGGAGCGGCGAGGCTGGAAACGACTCCGGTGGGGATGCCGGGGTCGCCCCCTGCAGCAGACTCCCCCTGCACACACTCACACGCACCCCCGCCGGGCCGCTGTAGACGTGTCCTTGAAAGCTTCGCATCTGCACAGTGAAGGACGAGGCCTCGCGGAGGCTGCGGATCGGGGGTCTCGGTCCCCACGTTGCCCACACCTCAGGAGACCCCGAGCCTCAGAGCGGCGCCGGCCGCGGTCCGTGTCCCGCCCTCACCCGGGCTCCCCACTCCAGGCCGTCAAGCCCTCCCTCCTCGTTGGCGCGGACCGAGCTGGCAAGTGTCCAGGGCCCGCCCCCGGCCTCCCCCAGCCCCTCTTCGCGGGGCCCGCGGCCCTATGGCTGCCAAACTTCATTTTGCTTTCCTGGAGCCTGCCTTCTTAGGGGCACCCTCTCCCTTCGCTCCCCCCTCAGTTGCTTCCCCCGTCTCTGCATCCCCTCCTCTCGTCTTCTCCTGCAAAGCCAGCTGAGTAGGTGCGAGCACCCTGAGTGGGAATAGGTTCCCACTGGCTCTCAGGGGTCCCTTCTCGGGCTCCCAAGGGGAGCCCTCCGTGGCTGCACCTTGACCCAAGATGGCGTCTTGCACCCAGCTGGGCAGTTCTGGCCTGCACAGGGCTGGGGAGAAAGGGCAGGCTGGGGACCGCACAACTGCACTCTCTCAAACTAGAGGGGACAGGAGCCTTCGGGGAGGAGTATTCTCAGCCGGGTGACCCAGCTTGCCCCTCGATGCTGTGCCCAGAGACTGCCATCAGCATCCCCTGGGGACAGTTAGGTCTTCATGTTTCACCCAGGGCTGCCAGAGGCTGAACCTCCTCCTGGGCAGGCGGGCGGGCAAGCTGCGCAGGGATTCAGGGATCAGGTGCTGCTCCACTGTGCCTCCTCCCTCCCAGGCAGGTGTGACAGCTGCAGCCTGGGGAGCTATTCTTGCGTTGCTGGGGTGTTAGGACTGGCCTGTGGGATTTGGGAAGCCCAGCTGCCAGGCGGACCCTCTTTGGACTATCCCCTATGTTGTCAGGGGCCATTTGCAGGTAGTTAGGGCAGTCACTTGCCTTTGGATAGTTGGGTTGTGGAAGTTCCTGTGGGCTTCTAGGCAAGCTGACTAGTCTCCTCTGGTTCTGGGACCCATTAAGGCCCTGGTGGAGCTGTTGACAGGTAATAATGTCAGAGAGTCCATTTGTGTCTGGGGGCAGGGGTTGGTAGGGGCCCCAGGCCGAATTGTGTCATAGGTCTGGCACCTGCCTGCACTTTCGTGAAGCCCCTTCTCCTGCAGGCCCTGTTGCCTCCTGGTGCTTTATCTTCAGCTCCCTTCCCCCATCCAGTCTGCAGCTTCTGATTCCTGGGCTCGTGGTGGCCCAGGCTTTTTTGTGCTTGCCTGGAGCCTCACCTGAGGAAAGGTGAATCCCCTTTAGACTCAAGGAATGAACATCCCAAATGCTAGGGGTGCCTTCCGCGCTAGAGGAGCCTAGAGAGGCGCCAGTGGCCATCTGTCAGTGTGTCTGCAGGCGGGATTCCTCTGTGGTGGGGGTTGATGACGCCTGAAGGCCCCATTCCAACTTTAAAATTCTGTGGCTCCAGGTTTCCTGGTGGAATTTCAGACCCAGAATAGGGATAGGCTGTTCTGGCGTCGTCCCCCGCCCCCTCACAGTAGTGGTGATGGAGAAGGCTTCTTAGTTAGAGAAGGTGGGAGAGAGTAAGGGCCTGCCAGGGGTTGGGCTTTGGCAGAGAGGGCCGGGATGGTATGTCGGTCTGACTGCTGAGTGTGTAAAACACAGCTTCCGTGCCGCCGTCACACATGGTGCTCTCCCCAAGGTGTGCGTAGAGATCTCTGCGGATAATTTGCAAGGGTCTCTCCCAGTCCAATCTCACAAGTCCTTCAGTCCTTAAGGACATTTCGCGATCATTTTCATGACCCTTTCTGCCATCCCTCTTCTCAACCAGCCAGCGAAGAACAAGATGAGCTGAAGGTGATCTGTCCTCTGGGGTATTCTGGGTCTTCTGTTGGACGTTAGTGGGGCTCCCATGAGGGTAGTGCCCCACTCTCTCCAGGTTGTTGCTCTCTTATCCCTTCTGTGGTTGGCGGTGACTCCAGCGGTCATTGTCTGCTTATAGACCACCTGGAGGGCGCAAGTCTCCGGAGATCCAAGTTCTTTCCCAGATTCCCTCAGACACCAGGGGAGACTCAGCACAGCCTTGACTTTCAGATGGGTGGACCCCTCCTAAGATGTTACCAGTGATGCTCCAGTCCTTAGGATCGTGGGTGGGAGGAGAGCCCTGAGGACACTTAGGAGTTGGGTTGGAGGCTATCTGGGTGAGGCCATGCCCAGTTCCTCTCAAGGCTGCCTCTTGTACCCAGGGCCTGAGGCAGAAGGGCCCCTTAACCACTTGCCACCTCCTCCAGTTTGCTGGCCTAGGGTCTCCATCACTGCCTTCTTCCCACTGATGGTTGAGTGTGTTTGGCTTGTAGAAGTTAGAGCTAGGATGTGGGCCTTGGGGGAGTTGTCTCTCCCTCCATTTTAGTATCTGGTGGATATCAGAAGCCATCAGCTGTCGGAGCAAGGCTGGGTTTCTGCAAGGACTTTAGTAGTAAATTAAAGGTACCAGGTGCTTATCCATCAAGGTGCCTTTTCTTCCCCCCCCCCCCCCCATAGAGTCTTGCTGTGTAGTCAAGGCTGGCCTGAATTGATCTTCAAGCCTTTGCCTTCCAAGTGCTGGTATTATAAGGAGGCTACTTTGGGAACTTTAAGGACTTATTTTGGGTCATTTGTCTTAAGTTTCTTTTATTTTTGAAATCACTCTTAATCCACTCTGGTCTCAAACTCCTGTGCTCAAGTCGCCATCCTTCCTCAGCCTCTCTTGTACCTGGGCTGATGTGTGGATCTGGCTTTGTCTTGGTGATTATAACATTTCCCCCTAAGAAATTAAATTGAGTTCCCAACGTGCAAGTCTTTTTCTGAGAGATCTGTGCCATGTCCGAGCTGCCTCCATTTCACTAACTGTGGGTCAGATGGATCCACACTGTGTGTCTGTGTTTGGTCAGACAGCCGACTTCAGTGCTGTGTAAGCAAGAGTCCTGGAGTGAGGAGGGGGTAGCTGCTGGCTCCCAGGATGTATTGGCAGAGTCACCATCTTAGCTAAGGGTCAGTGAATGTGTGGGCTGCTGTCCCTGCTCTCTGCATGTGGGTCTGCTTGGGAGGGGGGTGTTTTGAGAAGCCCCACCCACTTTCCTGCTTCTTTCACCAAACCTGGGTGAGCGCTGCTGACGCTGCTTAGAAATCTTGGCAGGCTGTCCCTGTCTCACGAATGGCTTTGTCAACAGGTTGGCCGAGCACCTCCAGTCCCTCGAGTTAGCTCCAGCATTTTGTTCATCCTCTGCCTTGAGTCTGGTAGCATTTTCCCTCTGTGTTTGCTTCCTCTTGCCTGAGATTTTATTTGCTGGGCATTTCCTGTGAGCCCGGCCCTGTGCCCACTTTGAGGAGATGCTGTATTGTGGCGTACCCAACTAATTAACAGCTGCAGGGTGCTGGGGAGGGAGGTCACTGCCAACTGAGGGGTGAAGACGGCTTCTAGGAGGAAGGGGCAGTACCTAGTGGCAGCCCAGGAGTGACATGTTCGGTGGGTGAGGGAGTGGGGAGGAGGGGGATCATTTGGGGCAGTTGCAATGCGGTAGATGCCTGGAGAGGTGGATCAGGACCTGGGAGGCGCTGGAATCTTGGCTAAGGCTTCCCAGTAGTTTGGGAGAGGGTTCCTGCACTTGCTGGGGGTGGGGTAGGAGGAGCAGGCTGGGCCAGCTGAGCCCAGGTGGTGCAGGATCTCTATTCTTCATTCCACAGACTGGGGCTTAAGAGCTCAGACTTCAGGACCGGAAGGCCAGAGTCCAGTTGCATAGCCCCAGGGGGGTCTTGGCAACAAAGGGAAGGGCAGGCCAAGGTCCCCCAGTGCTGCCACTGATAGCTACAGCCCTGTGGATTTTAGGCAGAAGTCCCTGTTCTGGTGTCCCAGAGGTCTCACCTTCCCCTCCCTCCCCTATACCAGGGAATACCTAGTCCGCTAGCCCAGCTCCAGCAGGTGT